CTCATAAAAGGCTAAATAAAACAAAAATATTGGTGGTAATTTTTGACTGTGTAACTTTACAAACGGCATCCCATACAAAAATAATAAAGAACTGAGCTGAAATGTATTGTCCCAGTAGCTGAGTCTGATCCTCAACACACACTGTATTTTTTGCTCGACAAACCTTTGTGTACGACTGTGTCATTAACTGTTTGAKTCAACATCATCTGTTCATAAGGAACTACTGAATGAACATCTACAACCAATAAACCTTTGAAATCAACTCCGAGCAAAATTCCTGTAATAGCCAAAAATAAAATGGGTATAATTCAGTTCTATATGTTTGAACCATAAATTTGTCAGTGATAATATCATACAGCCTCATGTTTTCTTGATTAAAACGATGTCAAGAATTTTTTTAAAATAGAGTATTTACCTAAAATAAACAGGAAAGGGTAATAAAACAGCAATAAAAATGTTTTTTTTTCTACTAACAAAAAATAAAACTAACCATACTGGAATAAAACAAAGTAAATAGTCATCAGAGACTGTAACTAAGTTTATCTAATGGGGTGGGCAGAGCTTGTCCAAACTTACGTGTATAAATATTATTGAATTGTAGTAAATRGACACCAGTGTCCTGTGGTCACATGACAGCAGCCTGTGTGTCCACACTACAGTTGAAGTGTCCATCAGCACATTTCCAGCTTGTGTAAACAGAATAAAAGCAGGGGCCGCTCTGGACATGGGGTGGGGGGGCTTCAGAGCTGCTCTATCAATCTGATCCTGATAGAAACCCAAGTTTGGACAAAACCAGCTGGCACGGGCACAGCAGGACAATTCACAGCCGATGAGTTTGTTTCAGTGGGTTCATGTCAAAGTGCAGAAGTCTGTCTGGTGGGTTACTGATTAAACGGACTGCGATAAAAAAACAGGCTTTCAGATGGAGTGCAGAAGTTAGCTGCTGTCAGCTGAGAATCAAGACTTTTATCATTTGTGGTGAGTCTTGAAGACATCTTTTTGTTCATGGAGTTCAGTCTAAACCTGAGCTTCTCGTGCACTCCTGTCCGTTAAAATGATTTTTGTCACAAGTGAACTCTGTTAGCAAATAAGACTTGCTCAGGGAAATCAGGGAGTGTTTTTGGTTGTGAGGGAAAAGCTTCGTCAGGATGGACAGAGCAAACTGTGTATTTGTTTAACTTGGGTAAAGGTGCATGTGTGTGTGTGTGTGTGTGTGTGTGTGTGTGTGTGTGTGTG